CACGAAAGCTGAAGTACTGCCACGCTTCCCAAGCCAAATCAAGAGGAGTCCAGCTACCGAGATCATGTTCTAACCACGGTCCTCCCAGTCAGCGAGCTTCTGCGTTAATCTTGAGTCATTCAGTGCTTATTACCAACCAACGAGCAAGTCTCTAATCTACCCTTACAAAATTATCTTCATTTTCCGTTGCTTCTGGAATCCCTGCACGGACTTCGGTCGCACACTTATCCGTACCAGCTCTTCACTACGCTTTTCAGCTTCGCAAGGTGCACACCTCGCCTAGCAGTTGAGAAGCTCATGAACTTTGAAACCCAACAAGTCTCAGAAACCTCTCCAACATCCGTCTGCTTGTCCGATGTTGAGTGATAACGATCTTTGTAGCGAGATATCCAACGCTGCACTTGATGTCGGAACTTCTACCTTTGGTACAATCCATCCTCTTCCAAGTATTGGATTCTGATGGAACCATGGCCTCGCTGGAGGCTCGACGACGGATTCCCTGTGGCCGCAACCACGATCCGATTCGACGTATAATCTGATACCGAGTTGAATTTAGTGTCCACGGAGGCCATAATTTGGTGGATCTAGCATTTCGAAGAGATGTAAATGCAAAGTGCTGGAAATCTCCACAGGTTCTATTTGATCATTCGAAAAATCCTCGGCAGCCTCTCGTTAGTAGAACAACCAGGAACCACAGTGGCTTTGATATTCTGCGAAAGATTACGTTTAGACCGTTGGACAGAATACTTCTGGGAACAATTTAATTGACAGCCTGCTACTCCCCACTTCATCTTTTAATAGAAACATCAGCCGTGAGTATGGAACTTCCTTCAGCCCTAGTAGTATACGAGTGCATGTCCCTACTCAAGTGTCACCATGCTGCTGGTCGTGGCGTTCTTCCATCTGCCGTGTTCAAGGACGTCAGTAAATTCTTGTCATTAGTTTTTCGTTTACGTCCATCCGAGAGAAAGAGACTGCCCCAGACAAGTGGGATGAGTTAATGAAAAGGATACGGGCAGTGAGTTTATTAACTTCAGGGAAATTAGTGTAACTGTTTTTGCAACAGGGCTTCTGACCTGACTGGTTCTGCATCGTTTTCAGGTGTCAAGCGAGATCTTAACCCGTGAGCACCAACCAAGTTTTCGGCCGGATATAGGGTGAATCAGCCAAATCTTCACATTCCGTTAGTTTGGAGAACACTGTATGTTTCAACAACCCACAATTTTGGTGTCCCTTGGCTTCAAGGTGCGTTCACTTCCGTCAACTGGTCAGTGCTTCTAATCACGCCATTCCAGCAAAGTATTCCGGTGGTCTTCGTAAACCATCCGGTTTTCATACGTACGAAGAACTCCCCAAAACCCTTCCTGCAAAATTCAGCGCACAGCAAGGATATCTGCTCTATTCGGTTTTATCCAACGATTGCTGAACCAATCAGAACAATGCTGGGCGGTCTTGAAACTCCCGGTGTTCAAGCCGTTACTGCTGAAAGCCTTAATGATCTGGAGTACGCAGACGATGATATGCTAATCTCAAACGCTGTTGACTGAATTGTTCACCGTCATACCAGCTTTTGCCATGTACGTTGTACTTGCAAAGTGGAATGTCATTCTTCAGAACAGTCTCCTAATAAATCCCTTACAATTCAAAGCGAGGGGAATCTTACGTGTCTGTCTGGATATCTCAGCTCTGAAGGGTATGTATTTGATGATACGTTTGATGCACGAACGGCGAAGGCTCGAATCACGTTCGCCTGTCACTTGTGTCGTCAAAAAAGCATACTGCTGGGTATCAAAAGTTGCATGTTCCAGGCTACACTAAATGCAGTCATCATCCTCATCATTGTCAGCTGTAATGTAATAGTACTCGTCGTACAGTAGTTTCAGCTGCCGCAGTTTTGTTCACCGATGATTTGAGGGGGGAGGGGTAGGTAGCTTCGCGTTACAGGCGGGAGCTGATAAATTGGCAATGTCTGACGATGTCTCTAGCCATTGATGTGGCCCGTCTCGTAGTCCCCATCCAGGAAGACGGCAATGACCAGCGCAGCTGAGTTTGCTGGTAATGGCTTTCATACTTCGCTGCCAAGTCATTGTTCGACCGCCTCTAGGTCTCTTCCACCCTTCACGTGGTTGTGCGAAAACAGCTTTTCGAGGAAGTCGGTCGACTGGCATACGCAACACGTGGCCAAGCCAGCGCAACCTATGCAGTGTGATCAGTTCATCTGTCGAGGGTGAGTTATTTCTCTCGAATACCATTCGACGTACTTCAGAATTGCTGATC